AACGATGCTCCGCCAATTGAAATACCATTCGGGTATGCTATGATGTGCAGCAGGAACCTGGCGCACGCAGGTGCGAGAACTGGTCCAGACCAGCCTCCGGATGGAAGGCCACGGATCCACGTCTACTGCATGGACAAGACCGGCAGTACCTTCCCCGTCAGGCACGAGAAAAACTGGCTGCTGTCTGGCCCAGCCAGGGCCATCAAAGTGCCACACCAGCTCCTCCCTTAAGAGTAAGCCTATCAAGGCGGACCTCGCCGTCGCGCACTATATCGAGACGGACCCCACTCGGCTGGGGTAGCTGCCCATTTATAGCCCCCGTTATTCTCGGCTCTTTTATTTGCCCGTTCATATTTATCTGCATTTATTTAGATATTTATTTCCTATTTATTTCCTATTTATGGCGCAAATCTATGTTGGAACCATATGGCGCAAAATCTATGTTGGAACCAAGCCATAAGCCTTGTCGAGGACATGGTGAAAAATGGAGTCGCAAGTCTTGGTTCCATCATGTATTTCGCGTCGAAGTCTTGGTTCCATCATCTATTTCATAAACTTTCTACGCGCACTAAGTAATGGGCGTGCGGGTTTTTAATCACCAGGGTATGGAGATGATCAAAGTGTCCATTGAGTGGTATTGGTTCAGGTAGCGTCGACAAACCCGCATTAGATTGTTTCCATCATAGGCATGAATATTGGTTCCATCATGCTTTTCTCGACCACTTGGTTCCATCATACGATTAATCTATCCGATTGGTTCCATCTTAGCAATCGCCCTTAATTTTTATTTGATGAACCAATGTATATCCTAATAGCGACGACCCACCTCGGTTCAATAATGGAGTTCTACGATTGTGTGATATGAAATTTAGTGATGTTGGCTTTGATGATGTCTTTCTCTCCTGGTCTTGTGGATATGATTATCCTCAAGAGCCTATCAGTGATGAAATTATTGATATCTTTGAGACTTGGCTGGACAAGTATGCACGTGCAGCTAATGAAACTGTGGATATGAAAGCCGATATTAAGACAATGATTGTGGAGACACTTTGTGATAAGAACTCTAAAGAACGTGCCTTCTTCCTTATGGGGGAAGGTGGCAATGGTAAGAGCGTCCTTTGTAATCTACTTTGTAATTTACTTGGTGAATATGCTGTAAACGTCCCCTTTGAGACTTTAACTAAATCCATTGAGGCTGAGGGTAAAAATCCTTTCATCAAGAGAATGCGTTATAAGCGGTGTGTCATCCATTGGCGAGGGAGAAGAGAACCAAAAGATACTTCAGGTTG